GCAGGGGTCCCACAGTCCTTAAAGAACCTCCAACCTTCTCACACTTCAGCTGGGTACAGACTCCTCCCAACACTGGCCAAGGGCAACTGGAAACCCTCCCGGCCTCAGAAATGCCATCCAGCCCGGGCTTGGATACCTCCAGGAATGGAGAACTCATTACCTCCTAGTCATCAATCATCGTGTGGGATTCCTCCTTCCCTAAAATGAGCCAGTGTGTATGCCCATGGCCCTCCGAGGGACCCAGGGGCAGGTCATGACCTCTCCGTTCAGAGCAGGATGGGGGTTTGGAACCTGAATCTCCTCTTCTAAGGTCAACACTTTGGGTCCTTCCTTCCATGGCCTGGTTTCGGCCCCCACCCACCAGGCGTCTGCTCTGCCTTCTGCTGGGTGAGCCCCATATTGTCACCACTCTTCCTAGTCGGTGGCCTTCAAAACTCCTAAAATGGTGTGAGGAGGTCTGAGCAGCCCAGACGACCCGTCTCTGCTTCTGCCTTCCCCAGCCCTCCCCCTGTCCCCAGCACATGCGCCAGGAGAACAGGAGTCCAGGACATACCCAGCCCTTGCCTCCTGCTGCCAATCTGAAGCCCCTCCTGACCTTGAACTTTGGGGGCCAACTCGACTCCTCCTGCCTTTGGTGGGTGACTCTTCTAGCAAGGTCAGCTGAACCTGCCCGCTCCTTCCAGGCACTTCCATCTGTCCTCTGGTTCCTGGCCTCGCAAATGTGGGAGTCTGCCCTGGGGCTCACCCCTTCCCACCAACTATATCCCCCACGGCCTCAGCGAGGCAGAGGCAAGGTCTAGGCACCAAAGGGCATACCTGAGAGTCTGCCTGGGAAGCCTGTTCCACCTGTAAGTCTCTGGTCAGCGGCCTGAGGCTATTGATGTCCTGTCCGGCAGCCAGCCAGCTCAGGGGTACACCTAGCCACTTTGAGGACTGGAAAAACCACAGCCCACACAATAATATCTGACGCATATTAACCACACAGTGCTTCCTCCTTTCTATTCTACTTCCTCCTCCTCAGTGCTGACCCGGCCCTACTGCCAGAGGGTCCCAGGCTTGGAAGGAGAGGCTCCCTCACCTCCAGCTGCTTCCCTGCACCGTGCCCCCAAATCCGCATCCCCTGCTCGTGCGCTGGCTAATTCTGGCGTCTCATCAGACAGTAATTACGGGGGAATCAGCAGTGCTGTCATCTCTGCAGCTCGGCACCTGTCACCACGCCACCATCCCCAGGCGGCTGGGATGGGACCGGAAGCCAAGGGAGGAGGACTGTGCTGGGGTGAGGGGCATCTGCTCCTTCTCTGCCTCTGCAGCCCTTGCCCCCTTCAACCCTACCTCCTCACGGGGCATGCAGCACGTGTCGACTCTGTGGCCACCAGCCACCCAGGGCAGGGACCAAACGCATGGGGACGCGTGTCCCCAACCAAACAGAGTGCGATGACAGCAAGCCAAAGCTCAAATATTCCCTAGCCCTTTCACATAGCTGTGACCTTGACCGAGTCATTTTACTCCCTGGCTGTCAGTTTCAGCAATGACCAAGTGGGGAAACAGTGCCTATCTTGGGAAGATGGGAAGAATCAAGCATGTAAAGTATCCAGCCCCGTGATTACGTATCCATTCAACAAACTACACACCTACTCTGTGGGTCACCATGATAAGTGAGTCACAGCTTGGCAAAGATCACCCTGGGGCCACATTGGGGCACAGCTATTTTGTCCGGCTGATGGTGTCCTGTTTTGTTTCTTTGAATTTTCCTGTTTTTAAGGAGCATAAGCACTGTCCCTCGTAGGGGACAGTTCCCACTGTTTCAACTGCCCTTGGCTTTGCACATTTCCTGCCCCTTAAGGCGCTGCCTTTGCTGTCCACCAGAGCAAAAGTGGACTACGAGGTTCCATTGGATCCAGAACCAATGGCCATTAAGAGATCTGACAATACCATGGGAATTCAGAGGGGACAAGCCTGAAGGTGGTCAGGAAGGGGCACCTCAGGGAAGAGCAGAAATGGAGGTGACCAAGGGGGGGTGTCCCGGAAGAGGAGTCACAGAAGCAAAGGTTCACCAAGGAGACAGGCCAGGCGCATTGGGAGCTGCTGGAGACATAAGACATCTAATGAGGTCCTTCCTAATGTTGGATCTCAAGGCTCCAGACATGTCCGCCTCCTCCAGAACGGTTTATTAGGTGGGCCTCACCGGCGAAGCCACAATATAAGACCAGCTTACAACTAAGTAGCATCTGCTGTCACAACCAAGTCACCGAGTCACTATCCTCCCCTCGTGGTCCCACATGGAGAGGAACTCTGACCCAGCCAAAAGGAGGTCTGGAAATGGGAACACCTTAACCTCCAGTCCCCTTCATATACATTCCCCAACTCCAGGGTCCGGAGTCCCCGGGGTGCCCCAGGGGTGGAACCAGGAATGGGGTTGGGGAAGGAAGGTGCCGATGAACCTCAGAGTCAGTTCTCAGTAGCATGGACTCTGGAGGGACCGTGCGCTCAGGACTGCAGAGAGAGGCAGAGGGGAACCGCTCCACGTACAGTGTGAGAGACTGAGGCTAGACCTAAGAGGCTAGAGAGCTTTAGGCGGAAGGGGGAGTAGGGCTGAGGATACCATAATGGATTATCTATGTGACCTTGGGCTTGTTACTTAACCTCTCTGGTCTGTCTCCTTCCCCATAAAACAGAGACCTTAGCATTGAGGACACAGGCCGGTGGGTCGTAAGGATAAAATGAACAGAGCTTAAGCCAGCACATGGTTCATGTATTAATAAGTAAACATTCAGTAAATATTGGTCATTAGTATTTTCATTATTACAGGGGATGATTTTACCCCAAATTCAGCAAGGACTGAATGAACCCCCCCACCCCGCCAGGCCCTCACTCCCTTGCTGAATCGGAGTCCATAAATGGAACCAGGAAGTCTCTTGTAACTGGAACCAGAGTCAGTGTGGGCGCTGACCACATTGTGTCCACCTCGGTGGACAGCCCCCACCCCTAATAACCCTTCACAACACGTTTCCAAGACCCAACCACATCTTAATCTGCTCTGGGAGGCAGGACAGGGTTGTTTCCCCTCTCTACAGATGTCAGAAGTCTTAGAAGGTACTGAGCTCCCTGCCTCTGGGAGTATTCCAGAAAATGGTGGGCAAGAGAGGAGAGCATTCAGGCCCTCCTCTTGGTTCCCTGATGCCCCCCAGTCCACTGGGGTGGCTGAGCCCCAGCCTCTCTGCTATGGGTGCGGGGAAGGGGGGTTGGTGGCCCCTGTGACCAGGACTGGAGTGGGGGACAGCGTTGGGCCGACAGGAAGGGCTGCAGTTTCAAGTGCTGCTGCCTCCTGTCAGCAGCCACAGTGTGGGAGGGAGGGGAGCAGCCTTGTTGCTCTTTTAGGAAAACGGTAATTTTAATTAAGAGGCAGACAAACGAGCACTCTGCAGATTGTCTCAGAGCAAAGTTATTAAAAAGCCATCAAGGCGTCGGCAGCAGCCACAGTGGCAAGGAGGGCTGCCTCCCCCAGCTGCCCGCCCAGATTGGGGCTGAAGCATCCTTCAGAGAGACGGAGGACTGGAGGACGTTGAGTCTGCAGACAGCCAAAACCCAGATCCTGCAGCCCTGCTCCCCTGGTGGGGCAGGGGAGAGGGAGGAACAGAGCAGCAGCCGGACAATACTGGGGGCTCAGGCTGCCCCAGGGGGCGAGAGGGCTCACTGCAGGAAGGGAACAATCAATGGGGCAATCCTTGCTGCAGGCCAGGCTCTGGACCAGCTGCTCCTTTTCCTGTGCTCTTCTCATCTATCCTGCCATTTGTTTTTAACTTACTCTCTCTGTCTCTCTCTTTTTTTTTTTTTTAAGTAAGCTTCACACCCAATGTGGGGCCTGAACTCATGACCCTAAGATCAAGAATCACATGCTCTACTCACTGAGCCACCCAGGAACCTGACAACCCTGCCATTTTCCAGGCAGGAACACTGAGGCTGGGAGAGGACAAGTGGCTTGTCCAGGCCCACAGAGCTAGGTAATTGGATTAAGTGAGGATTTGAACCCAGGTCAGGCTGCCTCTCAAGTACAGGGCCCCAGGCTGCTGATCCTGGGCAGCGAAGTAGGGGGTCAGCTCCCCAAGGCCTCTGAAGAGTCCTTGGCACAGGTCCCACAACGCTGCCCAAGTCCCCAGGGACTTACTGCTTACTCGGTGGGGGCACACTATGTGAGGGGCACCATCAGGTCAAGGGACACTTTACAGGGACATGAAGTAGACAGCAGTTGCCGGCCAGGGAGCAGGGGCAGACAGGGGCGTCAGGGGACATGGAGTCACAGTCCTGGAGTAGGAGCAGGCACTTTACAGTCAGCTGCCCAAGCCAGGGCCCCGGCTCCACAGCCGGTGAACTCAGCCAACTCCTTACCCTCTCTCTGCTCAGAACTCTTATCTGTCTTGGTCACTGTTGGACTCAGACCTTAGCCCAGGGCCTGGCACAGAGAAGGTATTCAATAAATCTTTATTGAATGAATGAACAAACGGACAAATGAATGAATGAACGATTGAATCATTGAATAAATGAAATAAGATCACAGGTTTGCAAGTGCCTATAAACTAAACAGAGCTGTATTGAGGTGGGATGTGGTCCCATGTCCCATCCCCCACCCTCTAGCCTCCGCGGGAACATGGGTTTCCCTCCGTAAGAAGGGCCCCCTGCTCCTGAGGCCCTCTCCCCAGGCCCCCAGGCCCCTGCCTCCTCCCCCGGGCTTCCCAGCCCAAGGAGGTTTTGCGGCCAGCACGCTTATGTACATACATGCACACACACACTAACTCACATGCACACATAGACACGTTCTCCGCCAGGCAAGTTGCCCTCCCCGGAGTCAAGTCTCTGCTGTCCCCTCCCCTGGCAAAGGCCTGGGCCCACCGGGGAGAGCCCCCCTCCCCCGTTTCTGGCCATCTAGGTTGGCAAGAGGCAGTTGGCTAAGGAGCAGTGTGAGGCAGGGCGGTGGGGGGAGGCCTCCCTCCTGGCTTACTAACCTGGAGACTTTAAACAGAGGGAACAGAGTCCTGGAGCCTTCCCTCCCGCTGCACGCTGGAGCCCTGGGTGAGGGACAGGAAAGGAGGAAAGTCGTGAATGAATGCCCAGAGCCAGAGGAGAGGAGATGGAGAGAGCAAGGGGCCCAGGGCGGGGCTCCCAAAGTGGGATGGCTCCCAGATAGGGGCCTTGGGCCATGGGGCTGGAGAGGGGCAGGGACAAGGCAAGGTGGAGCCTTAACAGCCATCCCTTTAGAGGTCACTGGGAGGCTGGGGGTGGGGGCAGGAGGGATAGAGACTGGGTGTTGGAAGAGCAGGGGCTGAAGGGGCAGAGACACTGGTGGGAGACAGACAGGAGGACAGACAGCAGGACGACACAGAAAACATGGGGTCCCTAGAATGAGGTCCCCAGGACAGACAGTCAACAAGCCAGGCCTTATTCTCCTCCCAGAAACAGAGACAGGCCCTTTCCTGGAGCGCCCACATAAGATCCCAAATGATAGCACCTTCGAAGGCCCACCTGTGTTGCCCACCCAAGGTCACCCCATCTTGGAAGGCTGGTAGGGTCAGAGTCAGAGGGGCCTGCCATCACCGCTCTGCTGACAGCCTTCTCCCAGCCCGAGACCCCCATCTGCTCCGTTTACCCCCTAACGCTAAGGATGGTCCCTCTTCCCGCTGTAATGAGGAAACATATTTTGCACTCAACCAGCACTCACACACTCACGCTGTGCAGGACAATGGCACCTGTGCCTCTAACTGCTTGAAGGTCTATACCTCACTCCTGCCTCCACACACCCCCCAACCTTCAGAGTGCGGGGCACAGCCCCCTTTCAGCCTTCATCAGGGCTGTAGGCCTCCCACCCCACAGGGAAGTCCTTCTAACTGTAGCCTTTCCCCCTCCTGTTGCCTTATGGTCTATTGCCTTCCATCCTGGGGCTGGTGGCATGAATCCCCTTCCTGCCCGGAGGGAGACACCGTGGCCGGGACCCTCTCGGGCACAGCCTTCCGGAGGCTGGCTCAGACCCATCCATACCCACATCACGTCTGGCTGCAAGAGTTCTCAGAGCCCCCTGCCAATCTCATGGTTCCAATTTTCCCACCGATTACCCAAGACGCAGGCGTCCCAGGGAGAAGCAGCTGTTGTACCCAGATGTGGGGACATTGACTGAAGGAAGAAACGAAGAACTCTCACTAACGGATCTAGCCCCAGAGGGTTTCCTGGACCAGGCAGTGCAGGTTAGAGTGGGGTGCGGAAGGGGCAGATGGACAGGGGCGCGGAGTCCAGAGAAGTGACGACTCAGGGGGCCTACCTTCCTTCCCACCACCTGCCTTCAGTGGCAGCTCTGGGGACCCAGCCCCAGATAAACTGAGGTGAGGATGTGGATTTCAAAAAACACTAAAGAGGTTTTCTCATGTATGCCCCTTCCTTCAGGAAGACAAAAAGGACTTCGCCCATTCAGTCATTCCTTGGACGTGAGGAGGTCAAAGACAAAGCAATGACTATTTCTTAAAGGTTTCCAGTGAGCTAGGAACTCTACCTAAATTACCGCATTTCATCCTGGTACCCATCCTTCGAGGAAACGCTGTCGTGGGCCCCAATTTACCGAGGAGGAAAATGAGCTTCAGAGGCGAAATGACTTGCCCCAAACCACAAACCTCTGTCTGACTCCAGAACCCAAGCTCTTGACCCCTGAGCTAAGCTGCCTCCCCTCTAGCCTCCTAAGGCCTTGTCTGTCTCCCCTCTTTCCAGCCCAGGCTCCAGGATATATCATTTCTGAAGGACAATAAGTAAAAGAGAAGGCTTGGTTTCTGTCTCCTTCTGCCTCATCCTCGGGGTGGGAGGCAGAAGAGGCTAGGTCTGGGCTGTGGAGGGACCAGGGACCTGGGGAGAGGATGAGCTGTTGGGTTCGGGAGAAGCCCGACCCGGATCTCCTGAGCTTCACCTTTAAGTGCGGTCTGGCCCCTGGGGCAGGGGTAGGGGGTGGGAGGACTGCTTTCCTGCTCTTCCACCTCCTCCAGGAAGCCACTCACAGTCCCTTTCTAGTCCCCTTCTCCTTTTAACTTCCAGAAATCCCTGAGTACCCAGGCTGGGGAGAGTGTTAAAAGTCAGGGGACCAGCAAAGTGAAAATCCAAGTCAGTCCTAAAAGCCCTCACTCTTCCTCAGAGCCTTCTCTCTTAGAAAGTGGCTGGAACAAAAATGGGGACGCATCAGGCCAGCTTAGCCCCCACCCCCACCTCACCCTCCCTCAGTAGGGGTGGACTGGGCAGGAGGCAGCCCAAGAGAGCAGGCAGAAGGGCTGAGTGTTTCTCTGAAAGGGCTTCAGTGAGCCGTGGAATGCCTTCCCAATGAGATGGAATCGTTAATTCTTCCCCAATGAGGCAGATGCCGGTGCCTAGGGTGACGCGACGGATGCCCGCTGTGTCTGCAATTATCACTCGCCCTGGGGGTGTGGGGAGGCGGCAGGACACCCTCCCACAACCACCTCCTAGGCTCCGCAGAAACATCTTGAGCTAGGCCTCTCCAGAGCGGCCCCTGGAGCTGGGCTGCTCTGTGAGGTCTCTGGGTCTGAGGGTTCCCTGCAGGGCCCTGGGTCTGGGGTCTCCAGCAAGCTCTATGGCTGGGGTGGTAAAGAAGCCAGTGTGCTGGGATGGGGAGGTCTGCGGAGACGAGGAAGGCAGGCTTGGGAAAAACCCAGCTCCTTCCCAGTCTTGACAGAACTCCATGCCGGGACATGCAGTCAACTGGGCCAGGTGGCGGAGGCTACCGGGAACCAGAAAAAGGTTGTTGGGGAGAGGAGCCACCCTCGGGCAGTGCCTCCAAGGAGGAAAATAAGGACTGGATTATAGTCCCTGAATGGAATGGAATGTAGAAAAGCCAGTTCTGCCAGGATGGAAAACGTTGAGTTTATGATTCAGACAGCTGAATCCTCTGGCCACTCCCTTATCCAGCCTCCAGGCTGAGAGGGTAGACTTTGGGCACAATGTGTCTTTGCAGGACAAGGGACTGTTTGTAGTGTGTGTGTGTCTGTGTGTGTGTCTGTGTGTGTGTCTGTGTGTATGTGTGTGTGTGTATGTGCGCGCACGTGCCTGCCCTCACACGCATGTGCCAATATTCTCTTGGGCCAGCTCTCCATTTTTCCAGTTTTAGCTGAAGCTTGGAAATATTCTTCCCACCCTCTTTGTGGCAAGGCATGTTTATCTCAGGAGAGAGGAAGGAGGAAGAGCTTGTGACAGCTGGAAGAGACCTTAGAGATTCTCCAGTTCCACCCTCTTTTTTCATACCAAGCACACTGAAGACCAGAGCAGGCAACTAACTTGCCCATGGTCACACAGCAGTAGGGAAGGCAAGCCACCTGATCCTGGTCCCATGCTCACTCTTCCCACTGCATTTCACCTCTTTGCCCTGGGGAATCGAAGAGTGGCTACCTGGTCCCCTTTTCCTCCCCAGCAGGACTGGACCCCTCTCTCTCACGCACCCCTGTACCCTGTACTCAGCCAGCCATAACAGCTACAAGAGTTAAAGTGCATCTACCAAGCACCTCAGGATGGCCCAAAGGTCATCGCAAAGGTCATGCCCACAGGTCCCCTGCCCTTAGGTACAACACCAGCTTACTCATGTTCACATATACCTGTCATCGAGGTCAAAGACCACCGGAGCTCCCCACCTTGGAGGGTCCCCCCCCCACACACACACCCCGGGAGGCTTTCTTTCCTATCTAACCTCTATTCCTCCTACTACAGCGTGGGCCTGTTTCCTTTCAAGCTGTCCTGGGCAAAGATGGGGGGAGGGGAGAAGAATATTTTCTCCCCCCACCCCAAGCCCTTCTGTCTGCCCACCCGCAACAGAGCGGATGAGGGCAGGGTGTCCTCGGGTGGCTGGGCCCTGAGCCCAGTGCGTGCATGAGGCACGAGGAGCACACTGGGGGAGCAGCAGCCTGAGTGTGGGAGAAGCAGCTCTTCTGGGAATTGTCCCTGCAGTTTCTCATCCCCTGCAAAATCCTAAGTCTCAAGGTTAGGGGAGGGTCTTTTCTGGTTTCAGAGACTTTTGTTCTCTCTGCCACACCAGTTACTGGGTGTTTACTATGTATCAAGCCTTGTGCTGGACATTTTCTTCTATGATTACATTTAATCCTCACAGCAATCCTATGGTCACAAACAAATCTGCCCCCTGGGACAGTCCCTTCCTAAGACTAAATCTAACCTTGATCCCTCTTGCTCCATTTCTGCTGGCCCGGTCCTCCTCGGTAGCGGAGGCCATCTCTGCTTCTGTCTTCAGATATTCTCGCCAGGACTCAGTGGCCCCACATTATCTTCTCCAGGCTGGCAACCTTTACTCCGGTCTTGCCCCATGTGATGGGCATTATAGGGGCCAAAGCAACAGAAGCAGGACTGGTGGCTTGGATCCATGACACTGGCCCGTGTCAGACAGAGCTCTGGCCAGGGGGTAGGAGAGGAGGCTCTGGGGGCAGTACCCCCCGGAGGTGGGGACAGAACCGGAGGCAGCAGATTCTCTCTCCCTGATGATGTCTGTGACCCTTGTAGGGAGCATGGGGCTTCACCTTCAGTGTGGCAACTAAGCAGGGCCCAGAGATGCAAAGAGCTAGCTAGCCCTCTCTGTGACCAGCTCTCAGGTCCAAATTGCAACCTACAAGCCCAGGGGACTGCACAGAAGTGGACAGGGCTGCAAGACACACCCTGATCTGCCCTGGGCTGTGGGGAGTGGGGAGCTGACACCCGAGGAGGGACTCTTACACCTGGCTAAGCTCCTTGGCATCTAGAGGGTGCTCAGGCCCTGGGAATGGAGGAGGGAAACCCCCAAGCCAGCCTTGGCAGTGTTTCATACACTCCATGGTAGCCACAGGCAACTTCAGTAAATTCACACAGCACTTGGCTTCCCTATTTGAACCTTCTGTAGCAGGGGTGATGAGGGTAAGGATCCCCTCCATTGGGGCTACCCCCTATCCTGCCTCCAGCATGTCTGGAACCCAAGGGCCAGACCCACCTACCCAGGAAATGCTCAGGCCTCAGCTTCCACCCCCTTAGGAGATTCCAGCAGTGAAAGCATGGGCCAATGGGCAAGGGAAGTCGGAATGGTGGGTGGGACTCTGGTCCCTGTGGGTGGCACCTTCCCCCTTCAAGCAGGCACCATTAATATATGCAAAGCATATGCAAATCACCCAGAAGAGAGACACAACATCCACGGAATGTCAGAAGAGACCTTGGAGATGATCCAGCCCACACCCCCTCATTTCACAGGTGAGAAAAGAGGCCCACATCAGGCAGGGACTTGTTCAAGGTCACTCGGACATTTGGGTGCTGAGGAAGAGTGGGAATGAGCTCCCTTTACTCAGAGTCTAGTGCTCTTTCCACGACAGTCCTGTCTTTTATATGGGAGGTGGACAAGATGGCAAGAGGGCACAGGGCTTGGATGGGGCTCCAGGAAGGCCTCCCAGAGCCCAGGGGTGAGGGGTGGGGCTAGGACCCCTCCCTTCCCACCTCTGAGCCTGGAAACTGCTGGGGTGTGAGGGGAAGAGTGTGGACAGGGCAACAGCGATGCCTGGGACTGTGGGTGACCAGAGGGGTGGAGAGACCAAGGCCAGAGGCGCTGGTTTCTGACAGCCAAGCAGCAGAAGGCAGCAGGAGAACTGGAGTGTCTGAAGCCCAATGTCAGGGCAAGGTGCCCGCTGTGGTGTGGGGAGGGGGATGGTTTCCTTGCTACACACACACACACACCCCTCCAGGGGCTCAGCAGCCCCCTTCCGCTTGGACTCTGATAATTATGGCACCTGACAGACCATAATAGTCAACCCAGCCCCATCTCTTCAGTGGCTGCGGCTGCCCTCCACCCCCCAACTTGGCTTCTCCAACCTTCCAGACAGTCCTAGAAAGCAGGACCAATGCTGGGGGGAGGAAGACAGACAGATGGGAGGAGGGCAGACAGAGTGAGAAAAGGGGAGACAAGGTGGGGGGAGAGAGAAAGAATGAAGTGCAGGGCAGGAGAAACCAAGGGGCAGAGAGAGGGGAGGCCGGAGGAAGAAGTGGGGGAGACACAGGGGCAGGGTGGGGGGAGATGAGAGGGGGAGGGGGAAAGTGGGAGCAGCAGAGCAGAGAGAAAGGACCGCAGGCCTCTGGGACTGAAGCAAAGCCGGAGCCTGGGTATCAGGCATAGGAGCCCCACTGAGGGACTGTCTGGCAGGAGTTGGGGACTAAGCCCCTTTCCCTCTGCCCACCTCCCCAGCAATTCCTGGGCTGCCAGGCAATCAGTCCATCCTCCTCTGCCTCCCTCCCTCCCTCTCTCCCTTGGGGCAGCAGCCAAATCCAAAGCCTTCATCTCTGCTTTTCAGAGCTGGGAATGAAAGAAGGGGAAGCGAGTGCAGCCCTCAAACCCGCTGACGGCCAGATTTTTATTATCTTTGCTCGAATGGGCCCTAGGAAGCCAACAAGGGATTCTTCAAAGAGCATCTGAGTGCCTCATTGAAGCCCGCACCTGCACCAGCCCACCCACGACAGGCAGTCAGGGCTTGGGGGGCACAAGCTGTCCCCCACCTCCCACCAAGCCCAGAGACCAGACTCAAGGCTGCCAGGAGCCTCACCCTCAGCTCTCTGTGCCTAGGCAGGGGCCACTGGCTCAGGCAACCAGGCTCCAAGGCCACACCCAGGCCTGCTGGGCCTCTGAGGCAATCTCTGTCCCTCTCTGGGCCTTGAGGACACAAGCGAAAGAAGAAACTGGATCTCCTTGCCAGGGCTAGAGGAGATAAGTGCTCAGGATTCCTCGAAAGAGAAGCTTTTATGCCTAGGTCTTTCCCCTGAACTCACCGCCTGCACCCCCAGACCGGCCCCCTCTGCTGCCTCCTGACACCCCCTTGCAGGACCCCACCCAACCACAGCTTCCCCTCCATTCCAGAGACCCAGGCCCACCATTCAGTATGATCCTGAACCCCAAACCCCCCTCCCTCCATCCAGACCCTCAGCCCCAGCTCCCTTCTTTCCCTAAGACCTGACCTGGAGTGGGGGTGGGGCTCAAACAGACCGGGTACTTTAAAGAGCCCAGCCCCCTCCCTCCTAAGCTTGGGTCAGAGAAAGCCAAGGTTGGCACTGTGCAGACAGAAACCATGCCACCCCCACCTCCCAGGTCTGACCACACTGTTGAGATCGATGCCCGCAGCCAAAGAAGGAATCAATGGTTCTAATTAAACCCTTTTTCCAGGGTGGGTCCCTGGGAAGAGACAGAGAAAAAGAGAGCGTCTGAGGCTCTGTATCCCAGCACACAACGCTGTACCCAGTACATCTTTAAGAAACCTGGAGCTCAGCAGGAATCAGGCCACAAAGACCCCAGACATCCCCCCCACCCACCCACCTCCGGCCCAGCCGACATTAGACAAGGAGCAAGCAGAAGGCCTGGGGTGGGGGCAGGTGTCCTGATGGCTCATTCCCAGGGATCCTTCCCCTAAGAGAGTTCCCCCAGTTTCCCCTCTCCACTCAGCCCCTGAGGACCACAGTTGCTTCTTCCAGATCCCCAGAGCACACGGGGGACCCACATCTCCATCCCAGCCCTGAGGGTCATCATAGAGAATCGGCCATCATGGTAAGGGCGGAAAGGAATGGGGCGGCCGGTGGGGGGGGGGACACTGGACAAAGACCCTCTTGTCCCCAAGGCACGGTGGCAAGAAGCCAGGGCAAAGCCTTTGCACTCACTGCCAATGGTGCCTGGGTGCCAGGCAATCTGGGTGGAGGGTGAGAGGGATCTTATTCTTGCGACCCCCTCCCCTTAAACCCCAAGCCTTCACCCCCAAGCCTTCCTTCTACACTAGGCCACCAGCTAAGTCTCTGCCCCAACAACTCTTGGCTCGCCTGGAGCCCTCCTTCCGGTGTGAATGCCAGGCCCTGACACTTGCTCACAGTGGCCCCAACACCAGCCAGAACTAGCAAAAGCCCTCCTGCAGAAACCCAAACTGTCCCCCACATACACACACACACACACGCACGCACACGCACAACCGCACGAGAGACACCACCGCGACAGCTGCCACCAAGAATGACAGAGCTTCACATTTTCATAGTGACAGTCTCCATCAAATGCAGCATCAATTCTTGAAAACCAGCAAGAGGGATAGGGAAGGGAATGAGAGAAACTGAGGCATGAAGTTAGACAGCAAAGCAGTTGGCTCAAGGTCACCCAGACCAAGATACCCAGAGTCGGGAAGAAGGTATCCAACCTCCAGCCCCACAAAGTGCTCAAACCCCACACCAAGGAACGTTTGGACCTACAAGTCCCAAGACTGGTCAGCTATGCACCCCCACCATGTCCTCATCTGTTTCCCCTTCCCCCAAAACAACAGTAGCTCCGACATATCCTGAGAAGTCTTCAGCCAGGAGCCCTCTGCCAGCGCCACCGAGGAGGAGGAAAACACTTCCCTTAAAGTTGGGGGCTTCAGGACCTCCTGCTTCCATAGTATTTGGAGAGAGGGAAAAACAGTCCGGGACCTCCTCCTTGCAAAATCCTTGCTCCTGCTCACCTGGCTCCCCTCGGCCCCCGGGGTCCCTCGATCCAGCCTCCTCCCTAGGAGATCGGGCGCTGCCCTCAGCGGTCCTCTCCCACCAGGCCAGGGCAAAGCGCCGGAGGCACTGCCAGGGCTGCATGGGGAGGGGTGGGGCGGGGGGGCTAGCACTAGCAGCCGCACACGCCCCGCCGGGCCCTTACAGCCGAGCTGCGGAGGCACCAGGCCGGCCCCCTCTGCTTCCACCAGCATCCTGCTGCCCCCACCGACAGGACTCGGAGCTGGCCCCGGAGCTTCTGACGTAGCAGGGGGGTGCGTGGGAGGGGAGGGGGGGCTATGGCGCGTCCCCTCCCCAGCCCCGCCCTCTGCCCCTCAGCCTCTGGTGGTCCCTACCTCCTCACTCACCCAGGATGCTCTCCCCAGCTGGGGGCGCCCTCTCCTGCCCTCTGGCCTCCGCAGGGGGAGGGCTTAAGATCAAATAGCCCCTCCCCCAGCCCCTCCCCCTTATGGCCCCTCCCTACCCGCCAGCTGAGCGGGGAGCTGGTCCCCTGTTTCTGCAACTGCTGCCGAGGCTCGGGGTCCCCGGGGCGGGGGCCGGGGGGGGGGGGGGGGGGGGGGGGGGGAAACAGGATCGTATCCTGGCAACACAGCTAACCCCAGAATGCACTCATCCCCTTCCTTCCCTGGGGGGCTGGCGCAAAGCGCCTACCACCACCGTCCAAGCGCGTTCACCCCATTCTGGGACCTGGGGGAAAGAGAGGCCTTTGAGGCTCCCCGCCACCCACTTCTCCAACCCCTTCGCCTACCCACCCCCCACCCCCCGCATCCTCTTCTTCCACCACCACGGATGGACCACTCCCCTCCCCCACTCCTCTCACTATCCATCCCCCTTCTTCTTCTCCCCACCCCTCCTTCCTCCAAACGTACCCCTTTAAATTTTCACCCCTCGGGCCCTCTCCCCCGGGCATCACGAGGCCTCCCCGCTTGGTCTCCAGCCTCGCCAATTCCTGACCCCCTCTGGTCCCAGGACTCCTGTCGCTCGGGTCCTTCTTCCAAGCCAGCACGCCGCGGTCCCCTGTTCCCCCCCCCCGGCCACCTGCGCCCCGAGCATCCCTTGCCCCACCGGCCGCCGCCTCCCCGGTCCGGCCGCCGCCCCCGCCCCCGGCCGAGGGGAAAACACACAAAGAAAACAGAAATACCTTCCACTTAAGCATGGAGGCACATTAGGGAGGAGAGAGACAGGGACATGCCTTGGGACGGAGCGTTCCCCATCGGGCGGGGGCGCGGGGGGCGGGGGCCCCTGGCCGGCCTGCCTGGCGCTCGCCCTCTCGCCGCCTCGCGGACTCCTCGCTCGGCCCCAGCCCCGGGGCGCGGTGCCAGGCGGGCGGGCCGGGGGCGCGGGCCCCGCCGGGGTGGACCAGCTGGGAGGGCGCCGGCGGCCGGGCGTGTGGGTGCGCGCGCGCGCGGGCGTGTCACCGAGTGTGCGAGAGCGAGTGTGTGTGTCTATGTGTGTGTATGTGTGTGTGTATGTGTGCGGGGGGGCGCGCGCGCGGGCCGGCGCGGGTGTGTCACTGCGGGCGGGAGCGCGCGCGGCGCGGGTACCCGCGTGTGGCCGGAACGTACAAAGGGCCGCCGGGGGTGGCGGGGAGCGGAGGAGAGGAGGGGGCGCTGCGCCTTACGCCCTCCAGCTGCACGGCGGGATCCCGCGGCGCGCGGCCGAGCCAGGGGTGAGGGGAGCGCTCAGGCTCCCCTCCACCCCACCTGCTTCTCCCACCCCAAGCCATCCTCGCACCACCACCACCACCGAGACAAATGCCTCAGGCCCGGGACCCGCCTTGGAGGAGAGGGGTGCACTTCGAGGGTGGGGGACTTCTCGGTCTCCGAACCCTGGCTCGCCAGGGGATTAGGAGGCATTCGGGGAGGAACAGGGCAGGGAGGCAAGCGGAGCTGAGGGACCGGGTGGCCACTTTTCAGCCAAGGTGACCTCCGAAGGCCATAGCCTCCCTATGCAGGGAGAGGCTGGACCCTCCTCGGCCTCTGCCGGGGTCGCCCCCCCCCACCCCACTCCTTAGACTCAGCTCAGCTTCAGGGATCCAGTCCCCCGGCGCCCCCTGCTGGGCTGTGTCCTTGCCCCCAGCTCCAGTTGCGGCCCCTCCTGCAGACATCTGCTGGAACTGCAGAGGCCAGTGCTAGGATTGAGGAGGCAGCTCCTCTGTCAAGCAGCATCCCGAAGGAGCGCGCTCCAGCCCCTTCTCACACCTCGCTGGGCTCTGCCACGGCCACCTCCAAGGCAGCATGCGGAGCACTAGCTCTGCCCCCGCCCCCGCTTTATTCCCACCCCTCCCTGTCCCACCTTGGCCTACCTGTGGGCTCAGCAGACCTCCTGCTCTGACCGACACTGACCCTGACCTGCCCTCCGGAGCCGGTTGCTTGCTTCCTCTCTCCCGACCGCTCTGTCGTGTCCCTCCTCTCGCAAACTGCTCTTGGAGAGGAGAAAGTGGACTGAGTCCCCTGGCCCTTTTCTTTACCTTCCCAAAGCCACTTTAGATGGAGCAAGAAAGGGGCACAGGAACTCTCTTCAATATAGGGCTCCAGGCAGGCAGCAAGGCAGGAGAGAAGACCCCACCCCAAGTGGCGCAAATGACAAACCGGTTTCCCCACTTCCTGGTCTACCCAGGTTGCAAGCTTAATCTAGGCTCTCCCATTTTCCTGCCCACTCCCAGGCCTGCCCCTGGACCAGCCACATGCCTGGCTAGGGGCAAGTCCCAGATGCCCCTCGAGATTAATCTCCAGGTGCAGTAGCTTAGCCAGCAGGGCCAGGGCCGGACAGGGAGGGGGCCCTTCCCAGCTCCAGCAGGGCCAGCTCCGGAGGGCAGCCAAGAGCCGTGTCTCAGACACACCGTCTGGGCACACGACCCCAGCAGTCGGCACCCTGACTTCTCCCATTCCGGGCCAGCTGCTCTCCCTCTGCCAACTGGACAGTGCCCATCTTTTGGCCTCAGCGCACAGAGGGCACTCTTCCAGCTCCCTGCCTGGCTGTCTGCCCAGGATGGGCATGGGAGGCAGCGGGCCCTGTGTAGGGGAGGGGGCGGTGTAGGGAGGGATGGCTTTCCCCCCCCGACTGCTCGACTGCTCGGACACCACCTCCCACGCCTCTCAGAGCCTCCAGGCTGGGGACTCAAGCTTCTGCGCCTCCATTCAGAAGTCTGACTCAACTGCACGGACTCCATCCCTTCCTCTCCCTTCAGGTTTCCCCTAAGACGGGGTCTCTTCCCTGCCCCACTTTGTGCACAGCTAAGGAGAAGGGAATCAGCAAGTGCTTTACTCAGATTCTCTCATTTAACCCTCTCAACAATCCTGCAGAATGGGCATCTTTGAACCCATTTCAGAGATAAAGAGTTGAGGCTCAGACAGGAATAGCCACGTGTGCCCACTCTAAGAGTAGCACAGCTGAAATTCAAACCCAGTTCTGCCTGACTTCAAAGCTCTCAGCATCTTTCCCATCACCAGCAGCACCTCCTGTGTGCACTGCCAGAAGCCGGGCCAGCCTCGGTGGATGGAAGAGAGCTGGGCTCAGGAATGTTCAGTTATGTCAAGGTTAAGGAACTGGGCATTAGCCCTGGATGATGACAGGAAAGATGCTTGCCCAGTCCCATGGAGATTTTTCTGCCCTTAGGATAAATGCCAAGAAGCCACTGGTTTGGAGACTGGATGGAGAGGCTCTATGAATCAGCCCCCAGAAACTGGGAAGAGTTCCAAAGGTGTCAGCAGGACAGTGCATCCATCTTTCCCCACCCTGATGTGACCTCCTGCATCAGGAGGGCTCCAGGATCCTGACGTGAGCCCAAGGCGGATGCTTAGCCACTAAGCTAAGGAGCTCCAGGCACACAGGAGCTCACTTCTTAAAGAGGAACACTTAACGTTTTTTTTTTTAGATTTCATTTATTTATTTGACAGACAGAGATCACAAGTAGACAGAGAGCGAGGCAGAGGCAGGCAGAGAGGAGGAAGCAAGCTCCCTGCTGAGCTCGTTGCAGGACTCGATCCCAGGACCCTGAGATCATGACTTGAGCCAAAGGCAGGGGCTTAACCCACTGAGCCACCCAGGCTCCCCGACCCTTAACATTTCTCATCGTCTGCTTAGCCTTGATTTCATTTGACCCCCTATTTCCCTGAACTACTTCACCCACACCCACACAACCCAGGACAGCTGGGTCCCATAGAGGGGTGAGAGGAGATACAGCTTCAGAACCGAAACAAAGGCCCTGAGACCCCACAGTGAGACAGAGGATGGGTGGATGGCATTGACCCTCACCCCCCACCGATCCTCTGGCCCAGCCCCCCAGGGAAGATCTGTTCCCGGCCCCCATCACATCTCCGAAGCACAGTCTCCTGGGTAGGGAAAAGGCTGGGAAGCCATTGCCACTGATCAACAGTAGAGCAACTCGGGTAGTATTTCTCCAGCCCAGAGACGAGAGAATTGCTCCTGGAAGCTGGCTTGGTGCCTGGGCGCAACCCGTGTGCCAGCTGCCTGCACCTGAGATGCCGCAGGTGCCACCCCACCCCCACTCACAGTCCTCAACAGGTAACTTCCCTCTAGCCCTCCTCCCAGCCAGTGTCTCTGGGCATTGCTCTTGGTCGGGAGGGGGCAGCTGGCTCGTATGAGGGATCTACTATGGCCAAGTTTAACGGAACTTCTCACACACTGTCCCCGCCCCATCCCTGGCCTGTTCCTGGGAACCTGTGGGAGGGAGGTTATGGGGGAGCATGTTAGAGGTGAGAATTCTCGGCCACTCCTTCCCCAAGTTACAGTGAGAACAGGGAGCACACCTGGACAAACATCTGGGCAGGAAGAGGGACATGGGACCAGGGGTGGGCAGAGGTACTGGGGCCTCTAGGGAAAGGCACAGGGAAAAGGATGATGTGGAAATGGTGGCTGGCATATGCTGAACTGCTCACTCTGCCATGGTGGGAACCCCCTTCCCCCCCAGATCCTAGAGAAAGCCCCCTGCATTTCATGAGCCCCTTGGACCATCCACCCTCCAACAAGAGTGGCCCGCAGGCAGTGAGGGGACTGCACTATGGCCCTGTACCTGAGAGAAAGTGACCAGGGGGGTGACCTGGCATTTGGAGCAGAAACTGTCAGGGGTGGGGGAGGTGAGGAGGAGGAGGAGGGTTTTAGCTAGCGCCCCAGAGCCCCTTCCAGGTCTCCTCTTGCATTCCTGGCCCTCCCATTCCCCCTCCCACCCTACAGGAGAGGAGTGAAGAGCAGTAAGTTTCAAAGGACCGTCCCTTATTCCCTGCGGCCCTCCCTCTCCAGCTTCTTATTGTAATGAATGCTAACGATGCTCCATAATTGATGCTCTCATTAGCACATCAAACCCACTTTCTGAAGAATGGAGAGAGAAAGTGGGATGGGGGTTTCTCTGGGCTCCTGACTCTAGCCACCTCCAGCCAGAGAAATTCATCCTGATGTTTCTAGCAGAGAGGGACCCCGGGCTAAAGGACTTTCAGCGAGAAGCCTAGATGTCCCTCTGATGGGCAGTTTTCTGAGCCCAAGTCTCTGTCTTCCTGTCAGATGGCAGGCAAGGGTCCTACCTCCACCATCAGACTGGGAGTGCCGAGTCTCCCTCATTAACTAGGGCTCCCCCTCAGGGTCCTGCAATGGTTCTTACACTAGAGTGAGGAACAGAATCACTGGAGGGCCTGTCAAAACAGGAGTTGCTGGGGCCCACTGCTGAACTTGCTGATTTAGTAAGTTTGAAGAAGGGCCTGGGAATTTGCATTTCTAACAAGCTTCCAAATACTGCTGCTGCTCTGGGCCCCACTTTGAGAACCAATGTGGGGCAGAGGGGACTTCTTGTTTTCCCAGTCCGCTGATGCAGCTTGCCTGGCAGCTCGCCACAGGGCCTGACCCAGGGGGAGTGCCCAGGAGAACTTTGTGGCATGGATGATGGCTCTTCCCCTCCCAAAGCACCTCCCTGCCAACGAAGGCCAATTCCTGCCATGTGAGCTCCCCTGGAGACTCCTTTCTTCCCAGGCTTTGACCTTTGATACTGAGGGACAGAGACAACCAGAACTGGATCTCTTGATCCCCAGCTACGGGCCACCATGCTCTGTGCCACTGATGTCAGTGCGTCTCCTGGGAGAAAGAAGGAATAAAGATGAAAAAGAGGCTTCTCAGCACCCCATCTCGCTTTGGGGAGACTTACTAGGGCCTCAATGGGGAGAAGGGTTCATGGATATAGTCCATGAACATGAACGTGCACGCCGCTCCCCACCCCCTTCCTTCCCACTCAGTCCCTGAGGCATAAGAATGGCAGGTTGGGGTGGAGCGGAGTGGACATTAGAGCAGGAATGTAACAATGGAAGAGGAAGGCAGATGGAAGCGGGGTGAAGAGAAAATGATAGACAAAAACAGAGCAGAGGAGGGGCGTGAGCAAAGGGGGAGGTAGAAGAGAGAGAGTGAGGGAGGTGAGAAGCTCCGGAAAGGCAAAGGGAAGAGAGAAGA